TAGGTGCTTCATTTCGATCACTGGCATTCAGTAGATCCAAGATAGTAGGCATAACAGTTTCTGAATAATTACAAATGTGATTGGTTTTACATTACTCTATGGTATCTTATAGTTTCCCTGCCATTCTTGGTAACTTTTTATTATTCTAGCATGTTTGCAATGAAGTGCTCAAAATTGCACCTTTCGACACTCGACCTTTCTGCAGTTCGATTCATAGAAATCAGCTGCTGAGGCTTGCCAGAGTTTCGGGAAGCTCATGTGGTCAGACTCCATTGTACCTTATATGTAGATGATGGTTCCAACAATTTAAAAGTGGTGATTATTATGTCAATAGCAAAAAGCAGCCCGATCTGTCAAAAAATAAAATCCATATTTAAGCTTTCAAGCATTAATGTAAAAAGCTTGCAAACTGATAATAGCCTACTTAAAAGTTAGTTTCGATATGTTCACATGCAATGGTAAAGGAACAAAGGGCAAAAAGGGTGTCCCCCAAGAGGCCCGTCGCGCGGCGAAGGACGAGTCGCAGCGCGTGCTGTGCGATATGAGACGTAGTATGGTACACTCTATTTAACCTGACGCCTAACCGCTACAGTATGCGCTGCGACTCGTCCTTTGCCGCGTCTGCGTCTCTTCCTTCGCCGCGCGACGGGCCTCTTGGGGGACACCCGGCAAAAAATGGCTGCCACACGATCCGCACCCCAATCGGTCGGCTCGTTGCGCGACCAAATTTCGCGAAACATAACACATTCGCTATTTGCATGAAACATCCTTCGTTCCCCAGCGTAGTTGTGGGACGTACCGCTTTCTAATTACCACTCATTCAGATCACAGCAGTGCTGACGGCTGGCACATGATTTCAAGAAGTTGAATTGCAAAAATTATGCTGTGCTAGTCCGCCGAAGAAAATGAGTAGAAGGTTGCAAGAGTTTCCTTGATCTGTAAGTTCTGTCAGTTTCTCAAACAATGTTTTTGAAGAAAACAGAAAAATAACCAAAATTAAATTTTCCTCCCAGTAGCAAAAAAAATGATCAAAATTAAGTTTTCCTTCTAGTAGGTATAGAAGTGTGTTTTGCACAGTGCGTGACGGTCAGTCTCTTGAGCCTCAACTAACCCATCAAGTTGAGGTGTTGTGCTCGCTGTATTTTTTCTTCATTCGAGTTCCCTCCGATTGGCATTTGTTCCTTAATGGTCATAAGGATAAAGGATAAAGGATAAAGCATTTGCCGTTGATCAATCCCTTTTTGGGATGCGGCACGCATTCTACTTCCATTTGTACATTCGTAGTGGCGTTTGAATGCGATGTGGCCTATACAATGACTTGCGGGGGCCAGCCGATGTACAAGTCAGTGTTTTTATCCTCCCAGACAAGTCTGGTACCAATTACCCCGGAGGGATGGAAGGCTTGGTTGGCCCGGGCGACTCACGACCCAGGATTTGATCCCGGACCGCTCGCGTGGTGAAAGTGCGCATTGCCCCAGGGTCAACCCTACGTTGTTACGAGTAACAACGGGGGGTCGTACTCAGTTGAGCTTGGAGGGAGGGGGGTCGTACCCTCTCGGTGGCCGACAGTGGGATTCTTGGTAATATCGGATAATAGCCAGCACGTTACGTTTTCGTAAGATGACTGATACTAGAGCATCTATAAACCAACGCTGTAATCTCTAAATTGAAAAAGATTGAATTGAAGATAATTGATTGAACTTTAAATGAATCAGCGAATTAGAAGGGCGCCGAGGCGTGGCGCGCACCAAGGCAAGGGATGTAGTGCAAGCGCATGCTCGGAAGCTTTCTAGCACATCCTAAATTAAACATGACATTGGTCTTCCAAGAAGTTACGGGCAGTGAAACCTAAGAAAACTCGCGTTTTCGAGAAAATGGCTTGAAGAATACCCCAAAATAAAAAGTAACAACGGGACTAATTTTTGAACTGCTGATCTTTCAGGAACGATTGGGTGCTCGTTAGAAAGCTTGAAACCTGTAGTTTATTATACCGTGTTCAGCTTCCCAAATGAATGACTTTGAAGGAAGTTATGATCGTTTGAAGGTAAAAAAGTCGCGGTTCCAAAAAAATAGTAACGCAAACCCCCAAAAAAGTAACAACGGGACTAATTTTTGAACTACTGATCTTTCAGGAACGCTTGGGTGCTCGTTAGAAAGCTTGAATCCTGTAGTTTATTATACGTGTTCAGCTTCCCAAATGAATGACTTTTGAAGGAAGTTATGATCGTTTGAAGGTCAAAAAGTCGCTTTGCACAGAAAAAAGTAACAACGTACTAAATTTTTATTAAATTAACTTTCGAAGAATTTTTACCCATGGTTGGAGAGAGAATAATTTGAATTTTCCAAATCAAATCACTTCGGCGCAGAAGCTCGAATATGAAGGAAGTTATAGCCTTAGAAAGAGGGGTGTAAAAATTGTGTTGCAATTGAAGAACGTGAAGGATTTCAGTATTTCAATTGGAGCGATAATTTTTTGACTTCTCATAAGTTTTTATCAGGTAATATTGTCAATATTCCGGTCACTGGTTCAGTTTATTTCATCTCCTAGTTTGGTAACCCTTTGGAGTACACGGATATCTTTGAATGCATCTCATTTTTTCGTGTTTGGAAGCAGCGATGAATATCTGTCGTGGATTTTGCTAAAGTTTCATCTTTGATGACTTACGTAGAAATAAATATTGATGGTAAACACTCTCTACACAAGTGTCACATACAAGGGGGGTCGTATCAAATCACCCATGAAGGGGGGGGGTCGTAAAAAATTTCCAAAGAGTAACAACGATAGGGTTGACCCTCTTGCCATACACACGCCAACGTATATTAGTATGTTAGGCCATTAATTCTACACCATTCTATTCATATCCAAATGTAATTCGATATTCTACCCGACCTGTCATCGTTATTAGGCAATCAATCTCAATCATTTGGTCCTTAGCCTGTGCCTTCATGAGTACTTCCGTCCTCTGGTTCTACTACTTCCACTCCCCCGAAGAACACCACAGGGCTAACAACAGTCTGATATAGTTCCCCTAGGGCGCCCTTTAACAACTCTACTTCACAATGAGTAATTTGCTTGCGCTGTATCATTTTGTACTTCAGGCGATTACTCGCGCTTTATCCGCCTATGTTCCTTAGCGACTATGCGTAGACACTATTTATAGCATTCGAGTATGAAACTTGGACTGGGATTCTTTCCCTTTCGCCGAAACTCGCTTGTGAGATTTTCGCTTAGGCGATTGTGAAAAATGAGCCGAGAAGCGGACGGGGCCGAAGACTGTATAAGGAATAAAAGGTAAGAGCATTTGCGTTGATCAAACTATGGTTGAGGGATGGTCGGCACGATTCTACTTCCATTTTACATTCGTAGGTGGCCGTTGATGAGTGGCATTACTCTGTAGGACTTGCGGGGGCGCGATGAACAAGGTAGTGTTCTATCCTCCCAACATCGGCTACCATTACAACCGGAAGGGATGGAGAGGTGGTTGGCTCGGGCGACTACGGACCTCAGGCTTTGACCCGAGTGTCGGTGGTAAGCGTGCCGATGGAACTACACCATTCACCCGGGCCAAGCTAGTGCGGTAAACAAATACAGTGCCCAAAAGCATTAAGACAGGTTCGAGCCAGGGTCAACCGGTCTTTGAAATTTTTCCACTGGGGACGTGATCGCGATTTGTGGAAAAGAGATGTCGTTAGACAAATATGCAGAAGTGCAAGGAGAGGAGATGTAGGATGTATCTAGCGGCTTGAATGTAACTCTAGAAGTATTTGAGAATGATCAAGTGGGTGTACTGCCGGCCATTGGAGGAGGTCGTAGGGACGCTAAATTTCTCCAGAGAAGAGGTCGTCAAATTGTGACTCAATATTGCGGTTGGATCCTGAATGAGGAATTTAGGAGTCTCACCTATCATAGGAAGCCTTGACCAATATTTCACATTCGTGTGGTGTAAAGGTTCTCAGGGCTCGCAGCTGTTTAACGCTTGAGCAGGAGAACAAAGGCGTCGTTGGGAATTAGTTATGAGGGAGAACTTTCGAAAAAGCTAGTTGAATAGATAAAACGGCTGGTAGTGACGCGAGCGAAACCCCAGACTTGCAGGGTGCTGCCGTTATATTTCAGAATAGTAAATAATTCATTATTTTATTTACATTTCAAATACATCAAAACAAAGATGAGCAATAGGCTGTGAAAGATTCAATGTAATGCAGTCATAAAGTGAGAAATACAAAAAGGCCCTCAGTCTAAGTATGACAAAAGAGTAACATCGAAAAATAACCTATGAAACCGTGCTGTAATCACAAATCAAAACTCTTTACAAGGAAATTAGTAAGAAAATAAAAATAAAGCAAAAAACAAAACACGAATACACATAAAACAAATGTGAATTATCTCCCCGGAAAGCTACCTGTTACCCATAAAGAACCGTGAGGTGCGAGATCCATACGGTCAGACTTCGACATCCGATGCTTCTTCATCGCTGAAATGTACGACTCGATGCGTAGGTGGGCTAACACTTTCACCTTCTTGTGTATCCGCTTTCAAACAAGGCACTGGATTTGCGGAGTCACTCGGGGGATCGCCGGGCGTTGTAGATTTCAGAGCCAAGTTATCTATTGAGCAGGTGATGTCGTTAAGTGGACGATCTGCAGAGGAGTCAGGCGGTGTCGTAGCAGAAGTGCTGTTGGGTGGTGGTGATTGCTCAGGTGGTGGATCAATTTCGTGAAGATTTTGCGATTTTGTCGATCGCCCGGATGGAGTTCGTTCAATTTGCCGTTTCGAGCGAAAGCTCGATCGAAACGATCCTGACGAACGTCTGCGTATGTAGAACTGATCGATTACGTGGTTTTCCAGAAGAGTGATCTAGAAAAAGAAATCTGAAGATCAATATCTAGGTAGTGAATTCACTGAGCGCCTTAACCAACCTTATCAACCGATTTAGCGAACTGTACTTCATCCAGTAAGCGGTAGTCAAAGTTCTCGCTATCGGAAAGCGTCTCGCGGAACAGCACACTGGTGGAATCGTCCTGAAAATAGCAATCACATAATTTTTATTATAATTATTGATAACTAATTATTGAATTAATATCTTCAGCGCATTCAGCCTTGCAGTTCACTGCCCATGACGGCTAACTGGTTTATCATTTTGGACGTGTGAATGCCGACGAGCTAGGGTAAATATACCATGAAAAGCGTGTTAGTGCGAAGATGTCCCGGTAGCGTAGCATGTGGCGCACTCGCCCGATGAGCGAGAGGTGCGGGTTCTAGACCCTCCTGAGGGCGAAAGTTTGTTCCAGCATTCTCGTTAAGCAACCACATACCAGAGGAGATTCAAAGAGATATTTCCTGACTCACCGTCATGCTGCCGAATCGAACACACAACGTCGCCATATTGTACAATACAATCAGTCGGCTTGGATGGCTAGCACGGCGCCAGATTCTGCGCCCCATGAGGAATATTTGTGCGTACTCCCTCTTCATGTCCGTCCAAATCCGTCGTTTCTCTTCAGAATCCGTGATAATTGGTCCTAGTCGGTAATAACAGGCGTAGATTGCTGCTTCGTACCTTAAACATTGACTATAATAATAAGAATTCGGGTATAACAATCTAATGCTGCTGCTATAGATGAGAGCAGTACTAACCATGCCAGATAGCAGTACTTCTTCGAAAGGGCGTGGAGACGGTCCAGCCATTCATAACAGAGCTCTCGTCGCTCCTCTGAAGTGCCATCTTCTGGATCGCTGTACTGGAATCGGAATAAGTCGTTTGCTGTCCATCGGTCACCTTTTCGCCTGAGACGTTCAACTTCATTCGTCGGTTTTCGGCTGAGCTTTGATGCCACCCGTCGTATCGGTCGGTCTGAAACCCTTCATGTAGTTTGCCATAGCACAACCCGATCGCAATGGCCGCCGCCTGCGCTGACGCCGCTCGGGCGCCGTTTTCGCCGATGACGTCAATGCGGTACAGCGAGTCGTAAAATAAACTCATAATGCGCCTTAATACAGCTGCACTCGTAGGAAGACGAAAGGTAACGGAATTGGCTCTGAGCTAGTTCAACTAACCGGGAAGCGGCTGAAGTTTAGCCTGAGTCTTTCGGCGTTCGAGTTCCACCTGACTTTTGTCCAGCAGACGTTTCTTGAGTTTCGACACACATCTGTTGTACTTAAGCAGCCACATGGAAATTAGTTCCGACCTTGCCTTTCGCAATCGCTTGCGAGCGAATCGCAGTTGCAGCATCATCTCCTTCAGCTGAAACAATTTCCTCTTTGGAGAGCTGGACGTGTTCGGGTGAAAGGGGCCAAAATGTGATCACGAACAACTGCTGAACATGGGCGATCGATCGAAGCAGCTGGTCCCCTAAATAACTTTCCAAGCTGCAGGAACACAACACTTGATACCCCCTTCCATCATGTTGATATCGAATTTCAACGGAATGTGAACCAAATTCTCAGCAGCTGTTTCGACCGCTACCCACTTTACGTCCCGTTTCCCCTGTTCACACTTTACGCATGAGTGGACGCATTTTCAGCAAAATCATAGGCGAATTCGGGGCAATTACGAACCATGGAACTCACCTTTGCCTGGAATTTTTTCGGCGGTGGCGAACTTCCGATCATAGAATGTTTCACTTAGTAATTGGAGTTTTCTGAAAGATCTCAGGATTTCCAGTGAAAACACGATGAACAATGAGCGTCTGATAAAAAATAGATGAACTGGAGCGAGTTCGGTTGAGAATGGGTGCGATAGCAAGTGCGGTGTGCTGCGCATGATGATTACATCGCTTTTGCTTGGTGGGGAAGACAGCTGCTCGGCTCGGAGGTTTGGGGGAGGAGACGAGGAGGGCGGGCAGGAGAGCACGATTAGGCCAACACACCTCTGCCTGCCCATTCCATCACCTCTTTTCGCACGTACTACTTACTTTTCGATAAAACACTTCGCAAGTTTCTGCCTAAAAGTGTTCGTGAAACTTGGGCAAGAACTTCTAGTTATAACAGAACAAGTATCACCGCCCAAGCGGTGACATTAAAAAGACAGACAAAGGCGAAACGTAGTCATAAGAGATTGGAAGGTCTGAGGCTAGAGAGTAGCAGGCTGATCGACATGAAAGACAATGGGAGAACGTATAACTAAGCTCTTGAAACGGCTGTGTCGGGCCATCATTAGCCCAACGGACCACTGGAGGTTCCACTCATCCAACGTACGCACGTCGATAACACCACCGGAAGTCTTTCACTACTGGAAGCATCACCTACGCTAGCTCAGATGGTCTTGAATGTTGAGGAGGAGACATTATTTTCTGGTATTTATCACGATCCAAAGTCAGAGAACTTTCGAAAGTCATTTGCGTCATTCTGCAGCGCAAAAAACGAATGAATCACTTGTCGGACGATTTACGAGCAAAGGGAGGCGTTCCAGACTGCAATTCATCTTCATCAGGCTTTCTTCACTAAGTGAACCATGCGTTAGGTGTGAAAAAACAAGATAACATCATCTATCACTTGGTGAGGACATGGGCGAGCTGTGTCCAGGAATACCGCCTCGCGTTTACCCAATAACCTTAACGACTTTGCGAGTTGTTTTCGGGAAACTATACATACGTCACGCATTGCGCCGAGGTCATTCAATTGCTGCTTGATTTGTCCGAGGGGATAAAAACATTAATGTGAAAATAGCTGGACCCGGCGGCAATTGCCCAATTTCCCACACATTCATGAGCCCTTTCATTTATAGGGAATTCAAATGAATGGCAATTCACGAACGCTTTGTTCGTTCTCCTGAGAAAAACAAACAGCAAGAACATTGGAGCGCTCAAGAACTCTACCCATCTAGTGAGTTTCTCTCGCCTTCTCTGACTTTTGAAGGCTGGGCGAACCACGACTATACTTCTTCGACATGGAATAGTATTTTGGAATTTTCGGAATCGCCCGGGAGGGGTGGGCAATGGAGAATGGAGGAAAAATTGACTAAGAATTTTTCAGGGATCGTATTTCGGATTTCTCGTGAAACAAAGCGGGGGAAAAGTGAGCCTTGCCGTTAGGCATCATAAATATCGCTCCCCTCCCCCCGCACGCTTTCGACGCCAGCTTTAGAGGAACCATCGGGAGAGGGGTTGAGTGTGTCAGTGGCACCAGGATCGACGACACTGACCATCATAACATGGAAGGAGGGGGAGT